ACCTGCCACAATGCCCCAACTATTTTTTGGTTGTAGTTGTCATTGTTTAGCAGGCCAGGGCTGGATTAGAACCTGCCAGCCTTGGTTATGTGGCTGGCACCGTAACCACTGTGCTACGGGCACCAAACCTCTCATATACTTTAAATCACGTAAGGCTGACCCTTCCATGGTGAGCTACCCCACTTTACTTTGGTATGAACTCAAGGTTTTGCTTCTGATAATTTTAACAAAGTGTGAGTTAAAGAGGTACTTCATATGGGGTTCCTTCTATTTCTCTGGTTCCAGCTTGGGTAGGTACCTAAAGAGGCAAAATAGGCATAGTGGTCAGCACATAATCCATTCTGTTTTCTTTTAGTCATGGTTATATTACCATACTAATCTCAGGGTGGTAGAAAGGATCGCTCATAAACTATTTTTTTTTTTGCTTTCAATTTCTGCTGGCTTTCATTTTATGTTAGTTTGAAGTTTTTTGTTTGTTTGTTTGTTTGTTTGTTTTACTTCTTCCTCCTATAGTGATTCTCTTGCCCTCTTGCCCCCCATGTAGCTGGGATTACAGATGCTAGCCACAACATCTTGCTGTTTTTTGGGGTTTTTTTGTAGAGATGGGGTCTCACTCTGGCTCACTCTGCCTCATGCTGGTCTTCCGCTGGTCTCGAACTCAGCTGAGCTCAGACAATCCACCGCCTCAGCCTCCTATAGTGCTGGGACAACAGGCATGAGCCGCCATGCCCAGCCTCATAAGCTACTTCTTAGGGGCTTAAGACTGCTTCTAAAGGGCTACCCTTATCCAGAGGAGGGCAAGCAGCAATACCTCATTCCACTTTAGGTGAGTTCTATATAATTTTCTTTCTTTTTTTTTTTTAATCCGTATAATTTTCATTCTAGAAATAGGGCTTTGTTTACTTGCTGGGTTACCTCCACTGCAAAGGAGAGTCCATTATAATTCTGTATGGAGGAAAGGAGTCTGTGAACATCTCAGTGACGTGAGGGATCATTGAGTTTAAACCATGTAAGTTTCCTTGGAAAACACCAGGTTCCTAATAGTTTACTCAAAGAAGCTGATAGGTGACCATAGGGCACTGTGTAAGCATATCCAGGTACAGATGGCAGGAAGCAAAGTTCCCTGATAGACGCTGCCTCAGATAGCCAAACATGGTGATTCCTTGAGTAGAAGCTGCCTAGCTAGCTGCCTCTGCAGGGCCTCCCCATGGCCTCCATCACCAGCATGTCATCTTTATCTGCCTGAGCCAGGCATTTTTCAATGATGATTGGAATGCTTGGAGGCCAGTGAGGGGAAAGTTGAACTTTCCTGCTATCTTTGTTTCCCTTGATTGAAAGGAGCCCTTGAGGCCTATGCAAGGCCCAACTCCCATGTGGTTTGGGGTTGCTGTCTGCCTGGAAAAGCAAAGTGGAGGGTTTTTCTTCGGGGAAGACTAACTTGTCTTCTGTAAAGGACTCCTACATAGTTGGCTTTGGTAATTGCCAGGAAATAGGAGGGCAGGGACTGAGGTCTCATGAATTTCATTTTTAGTTGTGGGCAAGGGAGAATACGGTGATTGTAACCAGGAAATCAAGAGTGAGGTATAGTTACCTCCAGAACTCGTCACTAGGCCTAGGCCTATAAAACAATCTAAAAGTAGATTAAGAAGGAGTAGAGAACTTTTGCCTGGTGGTGGTAGTAATGATGTTTTGATTTTTTTCTTTAATCAAAACCAAACAACTCCTCAGGAACTTCCAGCTGAGCCCCTCTTAATGCAGCCC